AGAGAGCGTGCAGAAGGCCTACCTGTCTGCCTGGCACAAGTGGTGTGATTGGAGCAAGAGGCAGGGATGGTTGTCAGTTGGGGGCGACCCGATTCAGAATGAGAATAAGGTCCTCGGGTACCTGGGCTACCAGGCTGGCTGGGAACTTCTGCAGCCACAATGAAGCAGGCTGTCTTGCGATCAAGGATGCACATAAGAGGGCAGGGCACAGGGACACCACCACGAAGATGCACCGGCTGTGGATTGTTCTCAATTCGCTGGAGAAGCACTCCGTCAAGCGCCCAAGACGGTTGGGAGCCACCGTGCAGATGCTCAAGTGGCTTGGCGCGCAGTTGGCAGCAGGAGCGGAGTCCATCGGGGAGCTCAAGGTGGATTGCCGAATGATTCAGGCGGCCTGGTTCTTCATGCTTCGAGCCCGGGAGTTTGCCGATTCAAGTGGAGTTGATGAGGAGATGGTGGTCAGGGGGCAGGATTCTGTGATCAAGCGACACTGGAGATCCAGAACCTGCTACAGAAGGCAGCCAAAGCCTTGGGCCTACCTGCCGAGAGGTTCCAATCGCATTCGCTCAGGATTGGGGGTGCCTCGGCTTTGTATCAAGCCACGGGCGAGATCGAAGTTGTCAAGAGGACGGGAAGGTGGACGTCTTCGGCGGTTCAGCGCTACCTCCATGACTCCGGAGACGTGCTGGCGGGCTTGGCAAAGAAGATGGCCACGGTCGACCAGCACGTGCGCTACACGTAGTGGGAAGCTTCGCCTTTGTCCTGAAGGCAGTGAAGTGGGGTGGTGGCCAAGGCCATAGATGACAGAAGAAGTCACTGGCCAAGGTACCAACTTCAGTGCTTCGCAGCAAACAAGGGCGAGCGCTATGCACTTAAGATTTCCGATGTAAATGGATACCCCAAACCTGTCAACATCGATGACCCTGGGGATGACCCTCGCAGATAGAGTATGGGCCTTTCAGAAAGCAGGGAAACATATTCTAACTGTCAGTCCAAAACCAGGATACCTTGCAGAGACAAAGCTAGGCCTCCAAA